AGCATTGTCTTCTATGGCAACAAAAGCACTTCATTTAATAATGCAGCAAGAATGCTCTCGTATCATCTCCGGGATCTTCTTCCAAGCCATTGACATCCACCGTACAAATTCAAGCACATGCAATGACATCTTTGTCAGGACTACACGCAGCCTACAGTGATTTTAAGATACAGACCAGCTAGAGGTGTTCAAAAGTAGTGTACAGCTTAGAATCGATGAAATAGAGTAGCAGTTAGAGACCAGACTCTGATGCCAGCCCAGAGTTGAAAAACCAGCTCCACCATTCAAAAGTAGGCTCCTCTCGGGAATGTAATTTCCACCCTCCAGTTTCTCATCCATGAGATGGTAGCATTAACAGGGTTTCTCATTTAATTCTTAGGGTTGTTGTGAGGATTAGGTTTTTTTCACGTAGAATGCTTATCAGATACCTGGCAGGCAGCATGCATTCACCAGGGAAATGATCCCCTCTAAGCTGTTTTATCACATTTTCATTTAAGAATACATCCTGAACGTGTTTCTGCATCAGTATATATAGATCTGCTTCATCCCATTTAACAGTAGTTAAGATGCGTTGTTATTGTTGTTCTTTTTAAAATCATTTTCTTAAATTTTATGTTTTTTCCACTATAGCATATAGTAAAAGCTTAGATTCTATGGGGAGGTTTTCCAATGACAACAGTCTCTACCTCATTTCTTCTCAAATCATTCTTTCCTACCTGAATTCCACTGTCCAGAGGCCACCTTTCAGCTTAAGAAACAGAACATGATCAATACCAGGGAAGCACACACGTGCCCACGCCGTGCCCCCTCCCTTTCTCTTTTTTACCCTGGAGGTAACAGCTTTTTTGAATTCTGTTTATGCTTCTTGCTTTTCAACTCTACCACATATGCATGTGCCATAACCAATATGGTCTTTTATTTTGCATGTTTTTAAAGTTAATATATGTAGTCATACCATGTATGCTGTTTTGTGACTTGTTTTTATGACTCAGTCATACATGGAGGTGCATTTAGTTTGACAGCTGTAGCTGTAGTTTCTTAGTTTTCATTGCTAGACAGTTCATTATATGAATTCACCACAATTTATCTATCCATTCTATCTCAATACGCCTTTCATATTCGCATATGTGTGTGTGTATATATACAGACCTTTTATTCCTGTATGGCTTATCATGAGGATTATAATGTGTGGTTTTTTTGGTTTTTTGTTTGTTTTCATTTGACCTAACTCTGGGCCCTACTAATATTTTCACTCAGTCATTCAGCCAGTATCTTTCCATGGAATCGCTTTTATGAAGGCGATTTCTCCCTGCTATGGACTGTCATAGAATATTAGTTTTAAAAGAAACATTCATATTCACAATTTTTTAATTTTTAAAAGTGAAATTTTGAATATAATTAAATTAATTTCTTAAATTGATTAATTAAAATAACAGTGAAACACTTCATGTGACTTTCAATATTTCTAACTTGCTCTGTAAAAATACTTTATAAATATCAATTTATTATATATCAGAAAGTATAAAATTATTCAAGTAACATTCCTGAAAAGTCAAAGAATGTTGTATCGAGTGGGTGTATAACATCAGGAAAGACAGATGGTGCTTAGAAGGTAGAAAACGATTTATCACTAGGACCTCCAACTCCTGATCTTTAACCAGCAGAATCAGTTGACTTTAGCCCATTCAGGTTAATTATTGACAATTACAGCTGCAAAAATGTGAAATACTGTGTTTTTCCCTGTGGCTAACAGCAATGTGTATCCAGATGTTTACATGTCCTGCACATAACCACCAAGGGCTTGGGGATGGATGATCCACAGTAATGCAGAGCAGTGCTAACAGTACAGTTGTTTCCTGGGATGTATATTTTCTTTTTGATTTATTTCTTTGAGGAATTAACTTTTTACTTTATTGATGAATTGGACCTTTCAAATCATTACAACATAACATCACACTATTCATACTAATTAGAGGATAGGCCATTCCAAGTAAAAGTTCTCAAATACTACTTTGTCCTGAAATTTTTAGTTTGACCGATCAGAGGTGTTGCCCGGCCAAGTTTAAATTTACAGGGTTAATTTGCATGATACACTGATGTGCAAAAAGACCTTCTAAAAAGTTGCTTTTCTGAAAAAGAGTTAAGCAAGATCTATGCTTTAGCAAAGATGTGGTAAACTTGTTTTCACTGAGTATCGGCAATAATAACATTTATTTAACACTTATTATGTGCCAAGAACTGCTCTGTTTTCTATATATTTACTAATTTAATCATTCTTAAGCTTCTCTAAGGGGGCTATTAGGGTTTTGCCACCTTATTTTACAGGTGAGGGAACTGAAATACAGAGAGTACTTGCCCGCAGTCACAGAGTTAATTAGGAGTTATAATTCATATGGTTTCCATAAAAAATTCATATGTTGAAGCTCTAATCCCCAGGACCTCAGAATGTGACCTCATTTGGAAACAGGTTCATTGCCGTTGTAATTAGTTCAATCAAGACGAGGTCGTACTGGAGTAGGATGGACCTTTAATCCAATATTACTGGTGCCCTTATAAAGAGGGGAAATTTGGATCCAGACATGCACAGAAGGAGGATGTCAAAGATTGCCAGCAAACCACCAGAAGCTAGGGGAGGGACATGGAACAGAGCTCCTCTCACAGCCCTCAGATGGAACCCACCCTGCCTACACCGTGATAGGTTTCCCCTGTTTAAGCCACTCAGTTTGCAGCACTTTGTTGCCCTGGCCCTAGCAAACTAATAAACACAGGGCTGGAGTAAGGAGCGAAACCAGGCAGGAAGGTTCTGAGATAGGTGGCTTATCACCCTAATAGATCTCCCCTAATAGATCTACTCAAAACAAAAACAGACACCCCCCCCTTCCCACCTTGGAAATAAATGGCACAGGAATCACCAGCTCTCAGATCTAGGCNTACTCGCTGTCTCTCCCCTAATAGATCTACTCAAAACAAAAACAGACACCACCCCCCCCTTCCCACCTTGGAAATAAATGGCACAGGAATCACCAGCTCNCTAATAGATCTCCCCTAATAGATCTACTCAAAACAAAAACAGACACCCCCCCCTTCCCACCTTGGAAATAAATGGCACAGGAATCACCAGCTCTCAGATCTAGGCAGATGAGCAAAACACTGACTCCCTTTTCCTGTATCTGCCCTATGTGCCCTGGAATCCCGTTTTCCTAATCCCTGCGCTGGGAAGGGCTGTTTGAGCAGATGTTCTGGTCAGAGATTTTTCACAGACCAATGGGACTGCGTTTACTCAGCCCACCCATATGACTCTGAGCCCTACTAGAGCTTCAGCATCCAGAAGTTTTATAATAGATTTTTGGACACAAAACCATCTGAGATTAGTAATGTTCAGATTTGGGTTTGCTTCTTTGGGGTTCTAACGAAAAGGATGTGTCCTAAGAGTACAGGAGGGGCAGTGGCCGTTCCAGTAGCCATGCGAAGCTAGTGCTGCCAGGGAAAGGGAAGGGCTGTCGGGGTGGCTGGGCGACCTGTCCCTGCGCAGTGGACAGGGACCTTTAGAGAGTGTGTTCTGGGTCCGGGAGCGAGCGCTGGGCCCAGGCTGCAGGCCCTGAAGCTGGGGAAGCTGTGGAGCAGAGGGGGTGCCCAGGATGCAGGCCCTGAAGCAGGGGAGGCCGTGGAGCAGAGGGGGGGCCCAGGGTGTAGGCCCTGAAGCTGGGAAGGCCGTGGAGCAGAGGGGGCGCCCCAGGGTGCAGGCCCTGAAGCTGGGAAGGCCGTGGAGCAGAGGGGGGGCCCCAGGGTGCAGGCCCTGAAGCTGGGGAGGCCGTGGAGCAGAGGGGGAGCCCCAGGGTGCAGGCCCTGAAGCTGGGGAGGCCGTGGAGCAGAGGGGGGGCCCCAGGGTGCAGGCCCTGAAGCTGGGGAGGCCGTGGAGCAGAGGGGG